CAGGTTTTAAGAATGACATGGAAGTATTATATATTGGACATACAAACACCCCCCTGCCATGTTTTATTTATTAAAAGGGGCATATAAATAATAAATCAAGGGAGTGACCTGGATAATTTTCCAATATTGAACTTGAAGAAACTTGTTAAAGCTTTGAAGTTCATGACAAAGAAGAAATGAAAAGAAATCAACTTCTATGACATTATTTGAATGGAACAAAGTTAAGATTATTAGAAGTAAAAAAGAAGGAATATCAAGTTTGCTCGAAGCTAAAATATTTTGCTATTTCTGATCATCCTAAATAGATATTTGCTGAAATGACAATGGTTTGTGAATTTGTTTATAGCTAACAGATGGGATATGGGAGCAAGGGCTTATTTGTGTAATTTAAGAGGAAGTTAATGAAATTGTTCATACTTGCTTTGATGAAAGTTGGAATCATTTCTTTACATATATATTTCTTGTCTTTACTATAGTCTCTCTTTATTTTCTTTTTTCTTTCTATTCTTTACATCTTTTTTCTTCCCTTTTCCTTTCTTAATTTTAGTTTCTATTGATTTTAGTATTTATAATATTTAATACCAGTACTTGAAAAATCAAGTTGTATTTAATAATAGGGAGAAGTAGGATCTTGGCTGAGTAGAACTTCTGCAAAGATAAATATTCTGTTTAGTTTCTATTGTACATGATTTTCTAGAAAACAGTTTAACTGATCTTCCTGCTTTCATCTTCAGGTCAGTTTTTTCATCCAATTAACTTTACCATACTTGAGGTCCATCCTGGATCTACTCCAGAGAAACCAGATGCTACCATGATTGTTAAAAATAACCAGCTGACAGTCACCAGGTAAACAATCATTCAAGGATTGTGGAAATTGTATTTCACCTTCAGGGAGTTTGCCTTTTAAATTTCACTGTCTGTGATTTTTCTGCAGGGGATGGCAAAAAGACTACACTGAAGATTCAAAGCATGGCACAGATGTTCCCTGTTGGTTTATTCACAATAATGCAGAAGGTCTGATTGATGGCACATACACTGACTATATAGTCTCTAGTCTGTTTTAATCAAACAGATCTAATTATGCTTATGGACTTTTGAAACAATAAAATGTTATTATTCCATGGCATTTGTGCCTAATCTGAAAAATCATAATTAATTATAATTTCTACTCTATAGTGAAATAGTCCTATACCATTTGCTTAACCAAAAACAATCACAAATCACCAGTTAATCTACAAAACTCGTGAGCTATTGCCTCTTCCATTCCTTTCATTCATTACAGTGTAAGTCTCTTTTTAATATTAGCTCTGATCGTTTCCTCTCTATAGTTAAATGAAACAAAGTATAACACTGTTAGAAAGAGGTATTTACATTATGTTAAAAACCTTATAAAACGTATGTAACATCTTGAAAAAATTTTTACTATAATTTTCAACTGATATTAAAATTTGTGCTTCAAGATTTTGAAGTAAGTATATATGTGTTTGTATTTATTCTACACATGCTAGCTAATAATTATCATCAGAAAAACATGTAATCACAAAAAGCAATGCAATAAAATTAGTTCACAAATTAACAGCTAAGCCTAAACAAATATTAACAACAAAGACAAATCAAACACAAAGTTTTTGCTCCGAGTGTGTGCTCATTTGCACCTAAAAAGGTCTGCGAATGCGCACAACATTAGAAAAGGGGAAAAATAACATTTTTTCAATGAAGATTGTTCTGTGCATGTGCAGAACAGAAAATCAAGATGGCGGCTTCAAGCATAGAACTGGTTCAGGCCAAGTTATTATCTACTTGGCTGAACCGATCCGAACTGGTAGGAACCCACCTCTGATCCAAGCATATCCATATATATCGATATGTTAAAATAAAACAGAACTGTTAAATTATCTTCTCTCTAATCTATTAAACTTAACACCCTGGTTAAATAAAAGATTTTTAAAATCCATTTTAAGGGCCCAGAAGTTCTTGGGGGAGGGGGGGGCAGTGTAAAGAAGGAATCTAATTCCAGGGAAGTGAAAAAGGGGCCTGCCCAGAAAAATGTAAAGAACAAATTGAATTGTAGGGAGAAATAATGGCAGACAAATCCTGAGCAGGTTGGGTTCCTAAGACAAGGACTGGTAGTTTCAGTGGGACTCTGGTTTAGAGAAAAAAACCAGTGAAGAGCATTGTACTATAAAGTTAGCCCTTGGTTACCTAACACAATTGGGACTGGAAAAATCTGTCATTAAGCAACTGTGACTGTGAGGGGCTTAAAACCTCATTTCTGTGACAGTTGTTAAGCAAATAATTGTGAGTCATTAAATGAGACAGCACATGACTGTGACTTGCAGTTTTACTGTTGGCTACTCCATTGATACTACTTATCAGGAGCTGCTTGTAAAGTGTGTGAATGGTGATCATGTGACCGTAGGATTCTATGACAGTCATAAATGCAAGGGCTGGTATTAAAGTTACTTTTTTATTGCCACTGTAACTTTGAAAGGTCACTAAGTGAGGCAGTTGGCAAACAAGGCCTACCTGTGCTGACATAAGAATAGCCGAAAGGCACTGTCCTGAATTAAGATTATGGGATAGGGAACAGAATTCCCAAGCCAGGAGACTACTGCAGTAATATAATCATGAAACAACCAAGGCATAAACCAATAAAGCAGTAACCTCATTCATTAGAGCCTACAAATATCCATCAAATGTCTACAAGTGTGAGGCAACACCCTATCAGGTCCACAGGTATGCTAACAGAAGTAAAAGGTAAAGGTAAAGAAGTCCCTGAGAATTTTTCTCCAGTAGTCATTGCCAACTCTAGCTGGCAGTGCTCATCTCTGTGGCAAGGCCATTGAGCCAGAGCTGTCCAAAGACATTTCTGTGGTCATATGGGTAGCATGATGTCAGGGAGTACTGTTACTTTCCCAGTGAAGTGGTACCTATTTATCTACTCGTGTTTGCATGCTTTCGAACTGCTAAGTTGACAGGATCTGAGATGAGAACGGGACCTCACCCCATCCCAGGGCAGTTGGGTCTCATGTTCCAATGAAGTTTCTGCTGATAGCATACATCCTTTCAAACTGCAGATGCCAAATTTGGAAATATCTTTCATATAAGAAATAATTAATCATATACAGTATACAAACCTAACACTGGATGTATCTATATCATTCTATTAAAGAGATAGGAACATTTTATCATGCAAAAAATGCAAAAGGATGCTAAAATGTTTTCACTATGGTATTTTGTCAGATAAATTTCTTTGAAGCGCTTTTCCATAGATATTATGACACTTGTGTGATTTGTATGGCTTACAAAATCATGTGTTTTGTACCTGTAACAAACATGAAGTTGTAAGAAAAGATTCCTTGATCAACCAATAAATCAATGGGTGCAATGTAAACTAGGTTTGCACCCCATGGGAAACCTCTCCCAAGCTTTCATGTGCTGCAGGCGTCATCAGTCATGACCATAAACATCAGCTTTGGTCAATTGAAGCTTTTGCCCAGTACTTTTTAGTACCATATAGAAGGTGCAGACTAAATTATCAGCCTGTGCCACATGCAGCAGTCTATACCAAGAGCAAAGACAACACCAGACAGTTGTTTTACAGATTCTCAGTATACCCAAACCTACTTTCACTGCAACACATGAATGCTATTCTACTAGGTTAGAATCTTTATTTAGAGACTATTTTGTAAACCAATCAACTGCTGCTCACCAACCATGGGATCTATGCAGTGTAAAGACACAACACAATAACTTTTCTATAGCATGTTTAAGATCTGCATTTTACTGTTACCTGTTGGATTCGTATACATATGTAGACGCCTAGCAACTTACCCATCCAGGAGGAAAAACACTTTTCACAATCAATAGTTGAAATGATAATAAGGTGTACTTTATGTTGATATTCTTATCACACAGAAGTGCAAAATGCAGAAACCAGAGTTTTTGAAAAGAGGACATCTGGAGGTCTGCAAAATACTGTTCCAACTTATTGGGACTCCATGGGTCTCTCTTATTAAAAAAAGAGATCTTAATTCTAGAAATAGTACCTATTATTTTAATTTGAAGGATGCATGTGCCTAATTACTCTGGATAAAGGAGAATGATAACATACCTTAAAATCACAATTTTCATTACAATTCTGTCTTTTGGGAAATTCCTTAAATTGGTGTTTCTCCAACTAAAGTGAAGTGCTATCCATTCTCCCTCCAGATAACTGAAAACATACTTGAAATCTTCTATCTTTGTTGAAAATCTCTATCCTGTTTGTGTGCCCAATTACTAGCTGTGAGTAGAGCATTTCCCTCCAAAGTAATAGTTGACAACTGGAATATATTTTATCCACCTTTAGGCTGCCACAGGAAATGTCAAAGTAAAGGGAAAAATATACTTTTTAAACAAGCCAATATATGCCTGTCTCAACTCATAGGTTGGAGAAAACATGAAGACAATGTCATGGGCGAAGTAGAAAAATAGATACTGCTAGGACAGCTTTGTGCCATATTTAGGTGTAAACGGGTGGACCGGACAGGGGGAGATCCTATCAGTTACGGCTAAAAAATCCTATCAGGTTATGCCCAAAAAAAGGGCCTCACCACTTTTAACTAGTTATTGGCTGGGACACAATTAAACATAAGAGGTAACCCAGGTATGTTTATTCTTAAGCAACTGCAGGTGTATTATTCTGTTGAGTATATTACAGAATTTTGTCATTCATTCATTCATTCATTCATTCTTGTTGTTATGACTGAGATCTATTCTAGACCATTGCAGAGGATTTTACTGCTTCGCTAGCCAACCTACCTTTTTCCCAGATTTGGGCGTCAGAAGACATAATTCCTTAAGTGTTGTCCATCCTCTTTCATTTTTTGTTGCAACAAGGGATTTTCCATTGTATTTGACTCACAAGCTTAAAGAGATGCTCCTTGACTGATTTGCATATAGAGTACCTTCCTCTGAATTGTTTTCTGTATGTATAGTTAAATTTCCTAACTTTTAGCTAACATAACCGAATGTGAAACTTGAAAAGCATGAATTAGGGAGGTATCTAATAACTAGTTACTAGCTTTTAACATGTGAAATAGAATTTTCTTTCAATGGGACGCTGCAAATCTTAGCAGGGCATTTTCCAGGTAGTTTATTTAAGCCAGAAGATTCTGTCTGTCTACTTCTTACCAGGTTTCTTGGATCAATAACAGCATACCCACTGCTTCCTTCCTTCCTTTATTCTATTTAAGGGATACTTCAAAACTAAACATTCACACATTTTTCCTTGTCATCTTGGTTATCTAACCAACTTTGCAAATAATTTGTTCACTGTGCATGTTGGCCCTGTTGCTCCTTGTTGCTAAGGCTCAGTGCCATTGCTGACTTAAGTGCTTTGTAGTGCCCTTCATTGTTTTATGGTGCTTTTAATTATTGTTCAACTCTTCACCTGCACTTTGATCAGCCCTGATCAGATATCAACCCTGGGAAGCAGGCATTGGCAAACCACTCCTGAAATATTGCCAAGAAAATGGCACTGACTCAAAAGCACAAAAAAACAAAACAGAAAAGTAAACCTCTTGTAACCAGACCTTGAGCTCCCCTGAGTCCAGTTGCCAAGAT